TAAGTTGCTGAGACTGACTTCTAACTTGGCAGTACCCCTGGCTCAGCCTCATGAATTTCTGGGACTGACTTTTTAATTGGTAGAATTAAAACTTAGTAAAACAAATATTCACAGAAAGTTTCTAAAAAATTGAAGATTCCCTTCTCACAGTAGTTAGTGTGTGCATCCTGCAAAAAGTGATCTTTTAAAAGAAATTAGAACATTTTCATAATTGGGATATTATCAAAAAAGAAGAGGAACAGATATTTCTCATTCAAAATAAAAATTTCATACAGATATGAAGAGATATCTCTATATATGGATATCTGTATAATTTATATTAGAGTAATATGAAGGCTCTTTGAAGAGTTTCATCAGTGTTTTTTATATGAGCTGTAGACATGAAACTTAAGTATTCAATAGCAAATCAAACAATCCTATTAAACTTGGTCAAGGGATTTGAAGATACATGTCTCGAAGGAAGACATACAAATGTTCAACAGATAGAAGATTTCGAGTGGATGCTCCAGTGGTGCAACCGGTTAACACGTTGGTACTTTTACAGCAGAAGAGTCTGAGAAATGCAAATGAAAACCACAAGAATCTTATACCTGCTAGATTGGTTATTTTCAAAAAGATGAAAGATAACAAGTGCAGGAGACATGTGGAGGGGAAAAGGAAACTTGATCTACCTTTTCTGGTTTTGTAAGTTAGTACAACCATTTTGGAAAACAGTATGAAAATTCCTTAAGAAACAGAACTGTAGTATGATCCAGCAACCCCACTACTGGGGTATATATCCAAAGAAATTGAAGTCAGTATGGTGAGGGGTTATGCACACTTCTGGGTTTGCTGCAGTGTTATTTACAACAGGCAAGACATGGAAACAGCCTGTGTCCAAGAGATGACTGAAGTAGTATGTAAACACAATGAGTATTATTGAGCCTTAACAAAGGAGATGCTACCATTTGTTAAAGTGAATGCGGTGAATCTAGAGGACGTGCACAGAGATTAAATGCCCTTTGATCTCATTTAATCTGATCAAAATCAAATTCTGACTTTAGGATGGTGATTACCAGATAACCTGAATTTGGTTGGAGAAGTGGGGGTGGGGTGGGGAAAAGACTACAAAGTTGGAAATGAGTTCTGACGTTCTGTTGTGTAATTAAATAGTTAATGTACATTTCAAAACAACTAAAGGAATTTTGTGTGTTCTTACCACATGGAAAGGATAAATATTCTGATTTTATCATTCTACAATGTATCCATATATTAAACACATTGTATATACGACTTATCAATTAAAAATAAAACTAAAAAAATTTAAAAAAGGGAATGATGCTGTGATTAAATTTGTCAGAAATTTTATTTATCTTACCTATTTATAATTATTTTCCATTTGGTTTGAAAACATGTATTTCATTTTTGTGGTGAGGCAAGGGTTCCTTAATTACTTGAGTTCTTAGAGTGAGAATAGCAATGTAGACTGTAGTAACCTTAGATGCAAAATTGTCTCAGCATCTGTCTTCAGTATTAAAGCTTGTTTATCACAAAAATTCATGTTTTTTTTTTTTTTTTGCCTAGAGGCACATGTTTTGCCATGTGGATATTTAAGGTCTGTAACTATTTATGTGTACATATGAAAGTTGATATTGTGTCAATAAACAATTAAAATTGAATCATCATTCTTCTTTGTGCATTTATTTTATTTTATT